TATTGTATGTAATAAATTCTTTCATCTATCACTTACTTTTTTGTCTTCATTATATTTATGGAAAATTTCTTGTGCTCTTTCTTCACCACCATCCGTAAACAACATAATAATCTTATTGCAGTTAGCTCTAGAGACACTGTGCTGTAGGAGATACAAAGAGAAGCTTTTTTTAATTTCAGGCTATAAGGAATAACAGCTGTTATATTTGATGGCTTTCATATCACATTCTTACTACTTCAACCCGGTAACAGTAAAACTTCCAAAGTCTTTTAGGATTTCATTCAATAACTTTTTCTGAACGAAAAATAAAATAAAATAAAATAAAACAAAACAAAATAAAATAAAATAAAATAAAATAAAATAAAATAAAATAAACCCAGAACAGTTAAATGTGACTCATTTCAGATCTGGCCCAACACAGAGGAATGGGGCTCTGGTGGTTCCTCACACTTCTACCAACCCAGAAGAAGCTCTTTAGCTCATACCCATCACATCAACCCCACAGTGTTCCTCTACAGATGTTCTGCATAAGACTTGTACAGTGAGAGCCTCTAAATATTTTTACTTTTCTGTTTTCTCAACCCGACTTTTTCCTTTTCCTTCCTGAATTTTACTTTTTTTTCTCCTAAACTTCTACTCACAGAAACTATCAAGCTCACTGACCATTTAAATGCAAACTCTGACAATTTAGGCATCCTATAGGTACATTTAGAAAACTCTACCTTAGAAATATGTTTGCATTTGCTACTTCTGTCACATTTCATTAAAAAAGCTCCATCTTTCACTTCTTTAATTCTTTCCTGGGATGATGATGATGATGATGATGATGATTATTTAATAAATTGAAATGAATAGCTACACTTTAGAAAAGTATTTTAGAATCGGGTTTGTAGAATATATTACAGCCAAGGTAAGGTTGCCTAGTGTTAAGATTTCTCCATCACCTACTTTTATATTTAGATTGCAACTCAGAGATGAAGAAGTGACCATGTTCCATTATTTCTGGAGAGCAAGCCTGGAACAGGGGGAACAGAGAAGAAACTCCTCTGACTCCTAATTCAGCAGCCAAAGTATCTAGTAAATCCACTGGGAAAAATGCAGTGTGTTGTGCAAAGTAATAAAAACGTTGTTCTACAGCCAGAACAATGAAGAAATGAATAGGAACTTTGGCTTCTCATGAAATGATCCAAAGGCTCCTCTTTTGGCATTCATCTTCTTTCCTTATTCCCTAAAAATTAAGAGTCTAGTCTAAGCAAACTGTTAATGGATTTTACAGCCAGCATTCTTTGAGCATTCATAGAAATGCTCCTAGTCAGACATATCTTGGTAATTCTCAGTAGTTGGATGTGATAGAGTAAAACCCTTAGAGATTCAGTAAAATAAATTCAACTTCCCCTTCCACCAGCCTGAATTTTGCTCTATGAATGTACTATTTAGTCAGGAAAAGAAACAGGAGTGTCTTCCTTACAAAGTACCTGTTTATCCCTTGCTTTAGTCTTTGTTATTAGATAGTGACTAATTGTCACCTGGCTGCTCAGGTTAGATGATCCTACTTCCCTTTGTCACTTTTCATCCTACTCTCTGATCTGTTTCCTTCTTCTTCTCTGATAAAGAAACTGAAACACCAAAGCGAGCCCTCAAACATCAGCCAATGGTTCTCAATATTGCAGCTCCAGAGTTCTAAAATGATCCCAGAAAACTAAAACACAAAAACTTTTTTTTGCAATCACTGTATTAACAGATAAATAATTATTCCTCAGAGATGATTTGTATCGGTAGTTCAAGATTCAGTGAGCAACTACTTATTTAATAATTTGAAGAAAACAAGTTGTACGTAACAACATATAACAACCACCTTAAATCAATGCATTCTCTCCAACCTCATCAGCACACTGTGTTTCATTTGGAATTAAATAATTTATGACCATTTTTTGCTTGTGAAATATAACCTACAAGATACTGCTTTGGGCAGCAATCTTTTCGATATTAAAAAAGTAATAAAAGTAGTTTTGGATACTTCATAAAAAAAGAAACTCTCCTACATTCACAGTGATTAAATATATGGGCCAAAATAAAATCAGAGGGAAACCAAGGAGATGACAAAGAAGGGGACCAAAGCCTGCTCATATTATAAAACTTTCCTACTAATTTTGAAATCAGCACTACCGTGGACAATACGAACTTGAGCTAGTCTTTGTTTTAACTGATTTTTCTAGTTTTTTTCCAGCAGCTTACTTAGCATATGCTTATACTGTATCAGCAAAATGCAGTGTTTGAACTCCTAGTACTTACAGAAGGGCATTTACTTACACTACACCGTTCAGACACTAAAGTCATGTCAAGGAAAACAATTCCAAGATTTTAGCCTCCAAACAATATTGGAAATCTGAATTTCAGTAAATTCAAATCATATGTTACTTTCCCACCATGAAACATTTCCATCCTGATGAATGAACGTAACACATCAGTCTCTTACAAGGGACCCAGAGGAAGGCAGAACTGCCTTTAGAACACACTTTTCCCCCGTTTGCAGAGATACTGGCTCAGGGAGTGAATATAAGTGATTTTGCAAAGCTTACACAGTAATTTCATCATTTTTCTGATCAGTTTACTTCAGCAGTCCAATGGATGTCTCTTCACTCCCACCACAGACCACAGCTGAAGAGGAATGTGTTGCCTATACAGCAGCCTTCCCAGGACAAAATCTGGCTTCTTAGCTTAAACCACAGAAGAATACCAGTTGGAACTGAGCCTACATATTCATTTTTAGCTCTCTCTTGCACTTGATAAAGGCTTCATTTTTTTTTTTCCAAACAAGCAAGCAAGACTTGATCCATTTTATATTATGGCTAAAGTTGCTTTTTTTATATATGTTTCACATCCTTAAAACTAACTCATTAAGTCACAGGTCAGGATTATACCTTGTGCCATGACACTTTAGGAATGCATTTTTTCATTATGAATTTCATGCCTCTGAGGAAGGAAAAGGTAAACCAAAGCAAAAATCAACTACTCAAATCAGGGAGAGATGATTTCAAGATAATTTTTTTGACAAATTGTAGTTATTATGGTATGTGGTATTCAGGAAAATTGTTTGAAATAACTGTCATCCAGAAACAGCACTCACAACATCATTATGAAAATTTGAGCTGTTAAAAAAATATTCCATTTCAATGAACCTTAAAAAAACTGGACTATTTGAATTTATAAATATACAACTGGAAAATCTCCCTAAGCATTATTTTTTTTTATTATTTGTTTAAGCCTGTATTATGACCTTAAAAAAACTGGACTATTTGAATTCATAAATATACAACTGGAAACTCTCCCTAAGCATTATTTTTTTTATTATTTGTTTAAGCCTGTATTATATTGTCCTATTGCATTGTCTTGTCACAAGAGTCCAGTGTTAACTTCATCCCTAGCTCCTTACTCTTCCTGCCAGGTGGACTTGCCCACATCTGAAGAGGAAAACTGTATTTTTATAACCTAGTGCAATCTCTTCATTTCCCTTGATATATACATCCACAATGTCCAGCCATAATTTACAGGCTTGCAGACATTACATGAAGCTAATCACACCTCTGTCTCCAGCTGCGACAGAGATGGTCCCCTTATGAGACAGATCTCCAATTATTTTTTTTAGTCCTACAAACAAGTCCACTTTGAGGCTTTCCCTGTGTTCAGGTCTTAACACTGCCTATACACAGAGTATGCATCTGATCCTGCACCAAATGTAATACATAATGTTAATCAAATAGAAATACTGTGAGGAACACGCTGTCTTTGGCAAAATTTCTTGTGTCTTCCTGGTTTTCTCTGCATGAGATGGATGAAGAAAAGGGGAAATGCCTTTCAGCCTGGTCTGAAAAAGTCCAACGGCTTTCAAAATTCTGTTTGCAGTTTTATATAACCATCAGCAGAGGGCACCCAATCATTTCCCCACCAAACACCTCTGCTCAGCTACGTAGTGAACTGTTGAGAAAATACCCTTGAAAACTTTGTATTTTCTTTTCCTTCATCAAAATTTAACAAGATAGAATTTTTTCAGCCATCTATAGCCCTAAGCTGCATACACAATGGCAGGGAAGCACCCTGCAGTCCAGAATATTGCAGATTACTGGAAAAATTTAAATACTTGTACACTGAGAGACAACACTGATATAATAAAAAAATAAAACCCAAAAAAACCCAGCAAACAGAAATAAGAAGAATACACTTCTTAAGTGCTGTAAATTGGTATAGCTTTATTTACGCTAAGGCAAAGATGCAATATGCAGTCTTTATGAAGGTGAAAAGTAGATTTTTTTTTAAAAAAAACAACTACACAGACTATTAAAAAATGACTAATAAAACCTCAGCGTTTGGTCAATGGGAAACATCACTACTCAGAAAACTAGTTTTTGGGTGCAAATTAGAAAGTACAATATAAGCAAAGCATGGAAACAATACATTTAATTTTTGAGGAAAATATTCTTTTTATACATGAGAAAGGGAATCGAATTAGAATACTCTCAAGTGCCTAATATTCCTCTGGTAAGTCAGTCATTTACCTCCCTCTGTCCTGCTCAAGCCATGGTCAACTATTTATGACTTGTAATAAGTATAAAATTGCAGGTTAACTAAACATTGCTAGAGGATACTGTGGTAAAATTGAAATGATAATACTGTAACACAGGGCCTTCGATTTTAAAATTACCTGTAAATCAACCACTACCACAGCTATGTGCCAACTGAGAATCACATGTTCAATGAGAAACTAGCTGAATGAATGAAGTAAAACCAGTACAGCACATTGAAAACCAAATGTACTCCCAAATTTTAGCAATCTGCCAGGGGATCTGCAAAGAAAAAAAACCCATATTGTTGGGATGAATTTATTTGCTAAATAGAGGTTTGCAATTCTACCACGTAGTTACATAACGGAGGAGCGTGCAGTGGGCATCTGAACATTCACGTTCTCCTTCACTTTACAGCAGAGAGATGACTTTCATACTTACATTCAGCAGCTGTTCAAAAGCATAGCTAAAGCCTTTTTTGTAATCTGTAATTCCTTTAGCAGAGATTTTATAGACAGCTTCTTTCAGTTTCTTCTTGTTCCTCACATTAGCTTGGACAAGATGATTAAAGCAACTGACATTCTGAGCATTATTGTTAAACTGTAAAATAAACAGAAATAGTATTAAAGATGGTTAATTCTTTTTTCCAGTACTGTAGTAGTAAAGGCTAATGGTTTCTTGATCCATGAGATAAAGCACGTCACACCTGGATTTTCATTTCCACTACATTGAGAATGCCCAGCAGAGTCTGGGGATTTCAAAAGTGGGCAATAAATATACTTTTTTTTTTTTTTTTTAAAAAAAAAAAGGTATTTGTTGCTTCACTGTTTGTTGCAATCCAAAAAACTCTACTATATTGGAAAAAATCACACAAATATTGTTTCAAGCTCTTATAATGAATCGATCTGAGAAAAGCAGAGTTAGGGAGAGAAAAAAAATGGGGAAATATTATTTTATTCACTGAAAAATACTGCTTGAATTATCAGGTGACATCCATATTGCACGTATTAGTCTGCTGTTTTACAGTAAAACCTGCAGATCATAATTGATTAGTACATATACCTTACAGAAAACAAAATACACTCTTGGGACAAAGGAAGCACATAAAAGTATAGCTGTAAATACGAGGATATTGTTAATAACAGTATAAATTTCTGTGTTGAGAACACACATATTTGGGCTCTCTTACCCATATATTCCTAAAGAGTACTCCCTGAAAAATTCATATATAAGAGATACTGACATTATTTAAAAACATACATAGAACATTTTTTATGTGCAAAATGTTATCTGCACAAGTAGAAATCAGTTTAAGATCTCTTTAAAATTTGTCCCTGCATAAATATACATACATACACGTATAAGTACGAATATATATATATATATATACGTATATATATCTCCTGGTAGAGAGTCAGGATGCTGAAACCCATCTCACTTTTTAGCTCACTCTGTATCTGTCTGTCCAAAGTCAAAGATGAGACTTCTCTTAAAAAATGCTGCAGCATGTACGATTCTACCTGTAGCCTTGAATGAAATTGCATATTACTACACATAAACTGTGTTTAATTCTATTTGAATGAAAATCTCCTTTTAACTACAGTACAGTCATTTTTATTTAAGATACTCTTGACTAATATTACTAATACTATCGTCTTGGCCAATTTTTGAAGTGTTTTATCTATCCAGATTTCTTATGTGAGCCTTTTTTCTCACTGGCAAATAAGATGTCGAAAAAACTCTGTAAAACTCCATCTCAGTAAAGGCACTAAAATCCAGACCTCCTAACTTATGTTTCAGCTACAAACAGATTACTATGCCTCTTCCTGATTAAGGTTCTTCAATGAAAGTAAATGTAAACATAATTTTTTGCTGCAATCTGGGGCAAAGTCTTCAAATAACTTAAAAATCAGGCCCTGTTGACTTAAGTCACAATACTGCTAATAAGATCAATAGTACTGTATAGGAGATAAGGTAAATAAGGTCACAGATTTCAATAACTGATCAGACTACATACATGTCTAAAATAAATCATTAAGTACCAGGCAAAAAGTACAGAGAGAGAACTGCTATCAGCAGCAAACATCAACTTTCATTGTAATTGCAGGACACTTACAATGAACAGAACATAAAAGAATGAACGGACTGATAATATCAAACTATTTTTAATAATGCATAATAATTCAATTCAATAGATATGCAGACTTTTCCATGTCCTGGAATCAGATGTGTACAGATGCATGCTCCTTGCCTTTAGAACCAACCAAAAAAATGTGAACTACCAGTAATTTTTATCCAACATCCACTTTAATCAATGAGACTTCTGCTATCAAATTAGTAGGAGGAAATGTATAACAGAAATGGAGTACAGCTTATGGCAGCGATGACTGACAGAGAAAGGCATCATCCTCAGCATAGCCTAATTTGTTCGACATCCTTCTTGAAAATAGCCACAAGCTGAAACTGTGGGGTTTTGGGCTGTAAGTGAGCAAATCCAGGCACTATTATGAGAGTATTTGCTGTGCTGGATTCTTACTTGAGTGTATACATCTAATTTCTTATTCTCACAAAATGGATGTGTCAAAGTGCCCCATGAACCAGCCACTTTAAGGCATGCATTTTTCTGCCTCCTTCTAATATCATTGTCATATCACAGGCCACTCCTGCGTGAATGTAGAACTTAAACAAGAAAAGCCACTATTTCGATTTTGACCATTAAGTAGTTCACAGTTAATCTAATATGTTGTCATCTTCATATTGTATTTATTTTTCTAATGAGCTTATTTTTGCTCATTCCTCATGGGATAATATTGTCTTTTGGTGATTTACTGATATTTTTATGGTATAGTTGCTGTTTTCCTGAGGACTGTATTAACTAAAAAATTGTATTGATTCTTGCCACGCAGAATACACTATGAGAATACCCATATAAGAATCTTCATACAGCCTTCCAATTAATAGGGACAGTTACTACTCTGTCCCAGTGTTTTAGCTCTGGTCCCCCGGTGATGAAAATCTGTGGGAGCAAGTTATTCTCAAACGACTTTATGCAAAGTTTTCTGCCCCTCTTTCTATAATATGCAGTTCCCAATGTGTCACAAGCGGAGAACTGTTTCCAAAACCATGCAAAACATGAAGAAGTGCTTTAACTTTGAAAAATGCAATGTTATACTTGACCAAGTATCCTACAGAAGAGTCAGTTTTATATAATAATATGACAAATGTTGCTTATTTATTTTTGTAAAATTCTATTTATTGGGGCTTTAATTTTCATAATACCACATATTATAGTATTGTGTATCTAAACTATTTACAGTAACAAAAGTATGAAAACAGGATAAGATAATGAAGATTAAAAATATTTTCCAGTTCTCCCAGTGTCACAATGCAAACTTCACTTCTAAAACAAATGAACACATGGAATTGGATTACATATAACCAAATTTTCAGCCTGAATATTCCTTTATTGTATGCCATGTTTCCCAGAAAAGAATATTTTGGTAGGCTCAACCCTCTGCTGTGATTAAAATGTAAGACTTCCAGCAGAAATTTAACATTTCCACTCTGTGTTTTTTAAATCCATTATCTTTTATAAAAATTATTTCCCCAGACTCACACAGATTATGGTCATTCTTTTTTCCATTTCTCCTTGATATCATGTGATGATTTTTATTTGTTGTGAATAAACAGCTTGTTTTGCTGCTGAAGCAAAATCACGAGACGACCACACAATCAATTAACTTTGATGCAAAACAGTGACACACTCAATGCTGCTTCTTACAGATGCTTCTTACAGAAGCAACCAATAAATCACCAGATGATTATTAGGTGCATTAACCATGTGGGACTGAAAGCAGTATTGTGCTGTGGGATTATTTCAGCTTGCCTTGACATAATTTTGAAGCCATGATGTGAAAATTACTAATGTAATTTTAAAAAGACAAGATCTGAAAACTAATTCTAATCATGAGATGGGATGAAAGTACAGATCTTCTACTTGGAACATAAAAGAGAAACACTAGTTGGTCGGTAGCTCTGCTCTACAAAAGCCAATTTCATCTGAAAAAGTAGAGTGAAAACACTGCTCCATCAGTGACATTATATGCAAATTATTTAATGAGCTAATGTAAAATAATCATAAGGTCAATCTTATGGCCAGTGCATGCCTTGCCTTGGACTACAGCAAACAGCAGTTTAGGTGTTCACATGAAAATTTAGTGACAAAAGAGAATTTCTCCCTGAAATGCCAATAACATTAAACTGCAAACCTAAATTGCTTGCTAGCAGTCCCGCAAATGTATCAGGATAATTATTTCTGTGAAGGTCAAGTATCTAGCATATGGATTGGTAACTGCAGATACAAAAATGCCATTTTAAAACTTGACAGGAATACTGGCTCAAACTGTTAAAGCAGTTGACAAGTAACCTGTACTATACTAACACATGATGCAAACTGAAGGAGAGAAATAACACATTTGTAGAATGGAGAGTTACATCAACCAAAGTCTGCAAATGCTGCAATTTAATGAAGAAAAGATATGAGCCAGCTGTTTTCAAATACATCAGTCAACATTAACGTTGATGCCAGTCAACAAAGCAGATGAGAAGGGTTTTTGATTAGATAAAGGAATCAGTAGAGGGAAAAACAATCCTCCAAAACGAACATTTATCTGTTTGCTAAGAGGTGAAGGCAGGTCTGAAGGTTGAAGTGCGACTGATAAAAATGTCCAAAGGCGGGAACAAAATTCAGGGCTACATTTAATTAATTTGAACTCAAGAAAAAAACCTGAAGTATCTGAAGGATTTCAAGTGTAAAAGCCTTCAGATGGCTCTTAAAACTGGATTTTGTTATTTCGCTCTTTAACCAGATGACTTTGTGACAAATACCAGGACCATTCATAACTTTGAATTAGTCAAACTGAGTCAGCTTCCAGTTACAATAATCTGAAATATCATAGCAATAGTGGCATTATAATTTTTCACACATTAAGATAGCTAAAGCCAAAATACCCGCAATAAGCCTTTAACAATTACTGGTCACATTACCTGTCTTCTAAGTACTACGATAAGGCTTATTTGCACTATTTATTGAAAACCAGTTAGCAATATACTCAGTTACTTAACTGGAAGAAAGAACATGCAACATTTCAAAAACCAGTTGCACTTCAGAATGTCCATGTTCTTACAAAATCAAGTCCTATCAAAGCTGTAAAATTAAAGCAAATACAACCTATACTTCACTGAATAAAATACTCTCAATGTATCAATACAAAATATGTCAGCTGAGTATTCATCAGACGGGCATTTCCCCCTAATTACTGCAGTAAAGACAAACATACATCACAGAAATGCTATTCTGGTAAAAAGAAAATAAATGGAATTTGCGTTCAATGCTGTGGGCTCAGTCACTGACAAGACAGACAACATTTGGAGGAAAACCATCCAATAGTTAAAATCTAAAGCCACCCTATATGGTATGTCAGCACCAGTGACAGCTTCTACTTTTTCAACTATATAAAAAGCTTATTCCTTATTTAAGCTAAAATAACAGCGGCTTGCAGCAAAACCCTTGGAAATCATGGAAAACAGGATAACCTTAG